TATTCTCAATTGTTGTTCACTTAGCGTATTTGTTTGTTTATTGTAAATAAATATTATTTATCTCTGCTGAAAATTTATATTAATATATTTTTTGAAATTGAGAACTTTTTTTCTATCAGCAGTTAAACATATATTTCCATTCGTTCATAATTCAAATCAAATTTAATCAGTTTTTCCTTAATCCGGACGCAAGTATCTATACATGTCTGCGCGTAACTGTCGATCAATCTATTTATTTGATAGTTTGAACAAATAAGACGAGAGCACAAACAGAGCTAGCACACAAGTATTTGTACTTGAGAAATAAATAAAATATATTCTCGAAGCAAGCTTGAGGATGTGGGTGGGTGTATCATTGCTTTGCTTACACCCACCCTCAAGAAAATATTACAAAAATGTCTTCTCAAAAAATTTTCGTTAATATTTTTACTATTCGACATCTCTACATTTTTAAGTTTCAACATTTTTTGCTTCGACGTTTTTAGGGGCAATCAAATTTTCAGGTCTACATTCGAAACTTTGATTTTATCGCACTCATAGGGTCCTATAGGACAAATACAATAAATAGTCAATATCTCAGTCAAACACCAACTTGGGCACATATACTTTTAGGCTTTTCCTAGTCTATGTACCCCCTACTTATGGACAAAATTTCACCTCAAAAGCTTTTTGACATCTGGGATGTTTCTCTCGTGAAAGTTAGGATCAATACTGGTTGTTCACTTTCAATAGCAGTTTTATATTATGTAAGAAGAAATATAAATACTATATGAATAATATTGTTCATTATCTTCCTGCACACAGCTTGATACATCTGAATTCTCCTCACTCATAGGCATATATTTGAAAAAATTGTATGTACAAGTTTTTAAAATTTTTTTAATGAAACGGACAAAATAGATATTTGACATACATATATGTGATTATTCGGCAAGTGTGATGCACATCTCTAAGAAAGAGCCTCGATGATGGCGGGGTCTTCCTTTCAGGAACAGATCTATATATAAGGAGACAAAAGTAAATGGTTGAGTAGTTAAATTCAGATTTCAGGCTAGACATTATTGTACTATTTGTCAGAATTCGATTAAAATTTATTATTTCATTCAATTTTTATTGTTGATTATATATTATCTATTTTCTCATCATTATTACCAGAAAATGTTCATCAAAAGATGAAATCAGACATTGTCTTCTTCTCCATTCGTACTGAATGTCTGAGAAAGAAAATATTTAACATGTTTATTAGCGTAAATACTGACACATTATCGAGGTATTAAAGCTATCAAATACTTGTATAATTGTCTATTATTTTTTAATAGATAAAATGTGAAAATATTGATACGATTTGACTAATATTGAGTAAATTAATTATAATTAATAATTGATATCAACAATCTAACATCGGTAACACTCATCTGTTGTTTCTAAAGAAGAATTCAATAATAAATTAGCTACTGATGAATTAGTTAGAAGCTATATAGCTCGCTATGTCATGATGATTTAGAAAACGATAAATAGTTGTAAACTCGCTCGAAACCAATACTATTCGTTTGCTTACGTAAAGCCATATAACAAGGCATTTTTTGACCATTTGTTACCATCTTCTTCATATAGATGGATAATAGCAAAGTACGTTTTTTCACGGAGACTTACTCCATGCTCATTCTCAAAGACGATGGTTCATTTTTCTAGATTATCAATTCTTCGAAATTTGCAGCTTTGCATCGCATTTCGCAATTGAGTAAAACTCGAATGCTCTCTAGTTTGTTGATTATTGCTAAGTATGCAGACAGAAGAATTATTCAATGGTTCAATGGAAATCACCTAGAAATTCTCATTGAAAATATCAGCTGTCTAAGTTTGGCAATGGATAAATATGGATATCGTTAGGTTTTGGACATTCAGAGGGATGAAGTCAAAAGATGGAAAATTGGAGAAGAAAAACAAAAGCAAGGTGTGATTGTAACTAGAGAAAATGGTGAAGGAAATAATCTTAATCAATTGCATAATCTTTATAGATTAACTGTTGATGATGATGATGATCAAATGTATGTGGCAGATTTCGGTTGTCATCGAACAATGCGTTGGAGTGTATGAAATACAGAAGGTGAAATTATTGTTGGTAGAAATAGAAAAGAAAAAGAATCAAATCAGTTGTTTTATCCACAGGATTTATCATTTGATTTATATCAAAAAAAGAGAGAAGAAAGTTTTTATAAAAAACAAATTGCTATTAAGGGAAAGGAAAGGAAAAACAATTGTTTTTTGTCAATTTAAAAGATCTTGATTTTGATTTGAAATAAAACATTTATTTAAATAGTTAATGGAACAAAAATAAATGAAATCTTCATTTAGTTCCTAAAAAAAATATTTGAAAATGATAAGTTTAAAAATATTCTTGTGAATGAATTAGAATTTTCAAGTCGGTCACTACCTGAGTAAACACTGAACTTTGTATCCATAGTAGAAGCATATTCTAGCATTATTCTCTTTTCTAAAAGAAAGGGTTATAGGTTGGATAAAAATACTTAAAGTTTGTTTGTTTGTTCAAGTCAATCAAGTTTCAGCATTTTATAAATCAGTAAAAACTTGTCGATGATCATCAGAAAATGATTGATCAAATATAATCGAAATCGAAGAACTCGATTCTGATGTTAGTTTTTCACATTCTTTTTAAGTGGCATTTTTTTACACAAAGAACTATTCTCCTGATATACATGTAACAGTTGAAAGTTGATTTCAACTTGTAAGTTACACGTATGTCTCTGAAGAAATGTCGGCTACGATACAAAAAAAAACATAAGTAATAGTAGTCATAATGTACAAGATATTACTAAATAATTTATCGATACTAGAATGGAATCAAATTCAAATATTTGTTGAAATTGAGAAAACCGAACCGATGCAGAAGGATATCTTTTATGTATTCGAAAAGTATTATTTTTGATTCGAAAACAACACATGATTACATTTTTCGATTTTTTCTTCTTTCCTGTCATACATTTTGCAATTCCTAGAAGGCATCGTTAGGCTGTGAGTTTTTCTGCTGGCCATGTCTGAATCCTTTCACACCACCAAGATTCTGTTTTTTCCATTTAATAGAATTGTCATTTGGCCTTTTTTGGTATTATCTAAATATGGTCTATTTCAAGTGAATTATTCATATGTACAGCACACTCCATGCATTCTCTCTTTTTCTCTTATTCTTCTTTGTCTTCATTTTCTTCTGCTATACAGGTGGGACCATCAATTTCTTTATTCATTTTTTTCTTTTTTATCTACGTAAGAAAATGAAGAAAGGACAAAAAAATGTTCACTAACATATTTGAGAGGAATAGAAAAAAAAGTGATGTGTATGTGAGAGAAAAGTAGGGAAATAAATCTATATATGAAAGAAGAGAAAGAAACAAATATATACGACTACCATCGCTCTCTCACACTTTTGAGTCGATTAAAGACTAGTCGAGACAGTTTCTATTTTTATTATTTTATTTTTGATCATTATGTTTCTATTTTTTTATAGATAAATTAAGGAAGAATTACAATGACAATGTCAAAATCTCAATGGTAAGCGATAAATTTATCATTTTGATAAAACGATGATTTCCTTTAGCAAGCAATCCTACAGATTATTGGTTGTTGGTGATGAAGGTGTTGGAAAAACAGCTTTTTCATCAGTTAATAGTGTACGTATAGCCGAGACATCTTCTTATCTATAACTATTCAATATTTTTATTTTAGATTCTTTATTCAAGAGAATCAATAATTAATGTTTGTGGTTTTGACACCGTAAGTTTATTTCACAAGTTTTAATTGGAAACATGAATGTTTTTTAGAGAAAAAAAGAAATCAATCTCAATGGTGAACGGATCAAACTCAAACTTGTATGCCTGTTATATTTTTCGAAATTGATAAACTTCACATTTGTTTTGTGTTTTTTTCTAGTACGATGGTAGCAGTGCACAAGGTCATCGTAGCATCATAAGTAATCTTTTATCTTGATTTATTATCCGGAACCTTTTTCATTTTTATATTTAGGAAGTTTTTATAAAGCTGTACAAGGTATTTTTATTATTTATGATACAACAAATAAAGTATGATTGAGATGTATTTTGAAAGCTTTATTTGAAATGATAATTCTTTTTTTAGGAATCATTTGAAAATTTAAAAATTTGGTTACATGACATTCATAATTATGGAAATAAACATAAACATGTGATGAAATTGATTATTGGAAATAAATGTGATTTAGCACAACAAATGGCAGTCAGTCGTGACAAAGCTATAGTAAACTATTTTTAATAATTAAAAAAAAAAAGAACATTTTATTTCCAATTAGGCGTATGTTATTCAATCAAATATTTCCATATTCGAAGTTTCGGCACGAAATTTGACTAATGTTGAATTAGCATTTAAACATATGGTTTTGAAAATTCGATCCAACTTAACACTAACAAGCAATGATCAACCTGATCAGAATAGAGAAGCAAGTGTTTTAAAATTTGTGGCTTATATATCTGATATTGGTTCAAATGTTGCCGAACAAAATGTGAATGAACAAGGTCTTCACGATAATACAGAAAATGAAGACGTGCAGGTTTCAACTGAAGAGCTTGATGATGTGGAACACACTGAAAGTGTAGATGAAGGTAAAGTGGAACGTGCTCAAATACCATCATCAGACAATCAAGCAATCGAAGAAAAAGCTAAGCAGTTAGATGTTATTAGTTTTTCGAAAAACATTATAACATTATAAAGTATTTTATACAAAAAGACAATTAATTAAAATATTTATCAGTTCATGTAATCTCACTTTTAACTTATCTATAACAAAGTATTACGAGTTCTTTCATTTTCTTGTTATTTCTCATTTAGAAAAAAAATAAAATAAATACGTTGAAATATATATAAATTCTAGTTCTTATAATAAAGATAAATGTGAATGTAATTGAAGAATAATCTGTATGACAACAAGAAAACATATTTTTGTGAATTTCATTGATTAGTCTCCATGAATATCTTGTGTTTATCAACTTACATCTTTAAAAAAAGGAATTTAAAAATATTCTTGTGAATGAATTAAAATTTTCAAGTCGGTCACTACCTGAGTAAACAATGAGCTTTTTATCCATAGTAGAAGCATATTCTAGCATTATTCCATTTTCTGAAAGAAAGGGTTATAGGCTGAATAAAAATGCTTAAAGTTTGTTTCTTTGTTCAAGTCAATCAGGTTTCAGCAGTTTATTAATCAGTGAAAACTTGTCGATGATCATCAGAAAATGATTGATCAAAGATAATCGAAATGGAAGAACTCGAATCTGATATTAGGTTTTCACATTCTTTTTAAGTGGCATTTTTTTACACAAAGAACTATTCTCCTGACATACATGTATTAGTTGAAAGTTGATTTCAACTTTTAAGTTAGATGTATGTCTCTGAAGAAACTTGAGCTACGATCAAAAAAATACATAAATAATAGTATTCATAATGCTCAAGGTATTATTAAATAATGTATTCATACTAGAATGGAATCAAATTCAAATATTTGTTGAGATTGAAAAAATCTAACCGGTGCAGACGAATATCTTTTATACATTTGAAAAGTATTATTTTTGATTCGAAAACAACACATGATTACATTTTTCGATTTTTTCTTCTTTCCTGTCATACATTTTGCAATTCCTAGAAGGCATCGTTAGGCTGTGAGTTTTTCTGCTGGCCATGTCTGAATCCTTTCACACCACCAAGATTCTGTTTTTTTCATTTAATAGAATTGTCATTTGGCCTTTTTTGTTAATATCTAAATATTGTCTATTTTAAGTGAATTATTCATATGTACAGCACATTCCATACATTCTCTCTTTCTCTCTGATTGTTCTTTTTTTTCTCCTACACAGTTGGCATCTTATACTAGTTAATTTGTTTTTCTTTTTTTTTATATACGTAAGACAGTGACCAATCGGCGTCATTACGAAGAAAAAGATGAAATGAGAAAGTAGAAAGACAAATAACACATATGAACCTATATGTGAAAGGAAGACATAAAAAAACTATATTTGTCAGATGATGACAACAGAAAAAAAAAATACATATGCAAAAACAAGAGCAGAAAAAAGGTATATGTTTAAAGGAACAGAGCCGAAAAAAAAGTATATAAGCGAGAAAAGAAAAAGAAAAAAATATATGTGACAATCGTCATCTTCTTACATTTTTGAGTAGATCAAAGACTAATCGAGGCAATTTCTATTTTTATTATTTCATTTTTGATCATTATATTTTATTTTTTATAGATCAGTTCAGGAAGAATTACCATAGCAATGTCAAGATTTCAACGGTAAGCGATAAATTTATCATTTTGAGAAAACGATGATTTCTTTTAGCGATCAGTCCTACAAGTTATTGGTTGTTGGCGATAAACGCGTTGGAAAAACAGATTTTTCATCGGTTATTGGTGTATGTACAGCAGAGATATCTTCTATTCTATAACTATTCGATATTTCCATTTTAGAATATTTATCCAGGAGAATCGACAATTAAATTTAGTATTGGTTACAACGTTGTAAGTTGGTTTTAAAAGTTTTGATTGAAAACATTAATTGGTTTTAGAGAGAAGTAGAAATCAAACTCGATGGTGAATGGATTCAACTCACAATTGTATGTCTTACAATATGTTCCAAATTGATAAACTTCACAGTTGTTTTGTATTTTTCTTCTAGTACGATAGCAGCGGTGCAATATGTCGTGATGACATCATAAGTAATCATTTGTTCTGATTTATTATCAAGAACCTTCTTCATTTTTGTATTTAGAATATTTTGATGGATATGTACATGGTATTTTTATAATTTATGATGCAACAAACAGAGTATGATTGACATGCATTGCGAAAACTTAATTTGAAATAATAATTCTTTTTTTAGGAATCATTTCAAAATTTAAACAAATGGTTGGATGAAATTAATAATCATAGATATGAAGATGTGAGGAAATTGATTATTGGAAATAGATGTGGTTTAGCAGGAGAAACGGAAGTCAGTTTTAACGAAGCTAGAGTAAAGTATATTTAACAGTTAAGAAAAAAAGAACATTTTATTTTCAATTAGGAATATGGTATTCAATCAAATATTTCCATGTTTGAAGTTTCTCCACAAAATCGTACTAATGTTGAATTAGTATTTCAACGTATGATTTTGAAAATTCAATCCGGCTCAACATCAACAATCAATCGTCACCTTGGTCAGTATAGAGAACAAATTCATTTAGAATTTGTGGATTATATATTTGATGTTGATTTAGAATTTGTGGGTATAGTTGATGTTAATTCAGATTATGCCCAACAACATGTGAATGATCAAGATTTTCATGAGAATACAGAAAATGAAAACGACCAGAGTTCGACAATAACTGAAGAGACTTCTGATATGACAGTCATTCAAAATGTGGTTGATCAAGGTCCTCATAATGATACAGAAAGTGAACACGAGCAGGTTGCGATTGAAACTGATGATAATGCTGGTGTACGACACACTGCAAATGAGGATGATGGTACATTGAAACTTGCTCGATTATCATTACCAGAGATTCAAATAATCGAAGAGAAAGCTAAGCAATCAAATCTTATCCGTCATTCAAATTTAAACAGTATTTAGATACAAAAAGACAATTAATTAATTCATTTATCAACTTATATTATCTCGCACTTATTGTAAAGTTTATTTCTTATTCACAAAAAAAAATAAAATAAATATATCGAAATATATATAAATTCTAGTTTTTATAATAAAGATAAATGTGAATGTAAATGAAGAATAATCTATATGACAACAAGAAAACATATTTTTGTAAATTTCATTGATTAGTTGCCATGAACATCTTGTGTTTATTAACTTATATGTTTGAAAAAAGAAAAATGAGTCATTTTTTATAGATGATAAACAAAATTTAGGATTTCAAGGTAAGGTGTCTTTTATTTAAAAATGATGTTGGTGTGGGTGTGGTCGCTAGGTAAATGCAGTGTCCATATCTACATCGACCGACATCCTTAAAAAAAAGCTACAGTGAATTTTTTAAAACCCTATTATCAAAATCCGAGTAAAAAGCCTGGTTTTTGAAACCTTTAATTTTTGCAGTATGTTTTTATTTTTGACATGAAGATCACTTTTCATTTCAATGAACTATACATATTCGGATTCAGCGCATTAATCTGCATCGAATTACGTAGAAAAAAAATCGAAAAACAAATTTGTTTGAATTTTGCGTTGCGTCAATCTTATAAAACTTTTCTATCTAACTATTAAAATTTCATGATTATTTATAACTTATCTTGTTCTCTACATAATAACATATATTTTCGTGTTTATTATTAAAATATCTCTATAGTTTATAATAGATTATGTTGACATACACCCAAATATTTCTATAATAAAAGTCATTTTACTCGATATATAATTCAAATGAAACTATACAATTATTTCTTATCATATTGAAAACGATAAGTGACATTCATAATAAAAAGAAGACGAAGAAAATGCAAGTCTATACTGTCATTATTTATAATATACACGTTTAATCATTTTGAAAAGAATCACATTAGCATGATCTTGTCAGATAAATACTATTGTCAATAGATGAGTATATAAAAGCACTGAGGATAGTGAGAGATACGAATGATTTATTCGACAGCCATGACATTAAGGTCTGTTGTTAATCATATTGAAAAATAGTAAATAAAACACATCCATATATCTATGTATAGAAAATATTGTTTGATTTCATTCTTCATTCGAAGTTAAAAATACGCAGATATATTAAGCAAGTGCACAATATTTATTTATTTATACTATAAATATAATCAATGACAGAATCTGAAGTTCCTGTTATACCCGAACACTTAGAAGACGCTATTTCTGACATGTAATTTATTAACAATATATGAAAAAATGAATATTTAATTAGTTTTGTTCATTATTTAGTGTTAAAGAGATTAATACAAACTCTACATCAGTTGTTGTAAAGAAATGGAGAATATGGAAAAATTTATTTGTTATTTGTATAGCGTGGGTACTTCAATTCACTGCTTTTCACGGTAATTGTAATTAATAATATTTAATAAAGTCTATAAATTACAATAGGTATATCAAATCTTCAATCAAGTTTAAATGCCAAAGGTAATGTTGGTATGAATTCTATGGCTATCATCTATGCTTTTTTGATATTTTCTTCTGCCTTATTACCTCATCCAATGGTAACTCTAATAGGATTCTATATAAATAATGATTTAAAACATTGTCTTTTAATTAGATGAGTATATTTGGTATGAAATGGACAATAGTAATAGGTCAATTTGGTTATCTTGCATTTGTTGTTGCAAATTTAAAACCTATACCAGCGTTAATGTATCCAGCATCTGTATTAGTAGGCCTTGGCGGTGCAGTATTATGGACGTCTAAAAATGCTTATGTAACACAGATTGGTATGCTTCATGCTGAGTCGAAAGGAAAAAAACCTGAAACAGGTGTAACACAGTTTTTTGGTATATTTTTTGCTTGTTTTCAAACAAGTAAGTTAAATTGATTTCATTGAATAACTCATTTATTTTGTCTGACTTATTTTGCGTAGGTCAAATTTGGGGAAATCTTATTAGTTATTTAGTTTTACAACCAACTCCTAAATCAAAAACACATAATGAAATATCAACTGGTTCAGTAGTTCAAAGAATATTTATCAAAAATGTGACAAATATAACCAGCAAAGGCTATCAATGTGGTGCAGGATTTAATGAAAAAGATTTTCATTCTGATCGTAGTGCTCCTGTATCAAAAAATTTAGTATGAATATATATATATATCTACATTTAGAAGAGAAAACAATCATTTTATTCTATTCTTATAGGCATTTACTTTGTGTTATATTTATATTGGTCTTATAGTAGCAAGTATTGTTTTTATTGCCCTTCTATTGGATCAAAGACGAAGTAAAACAGATTCAAAAAGTAAATCTTTCTAATAAATCTATAATTATGTTAATTTCAAATTTTGGTGATTACTACGTATGTGTGTTATGTCGGAACATATGTTATATATAGATATCGAAAGATAGACAAAGAAATTATTGTTTTGAAAATCTTGTCGTTAAGAATGTAATGCATTCTTCAAATATATAGTTTTTCGATATAATATTGTAAACTAATTTGAAAAAAGATGATGTCATTATATAAAATACTAATATTACGAAATTTAGGTTCTATCAAAGCCCAGTTAAAAAACTCTCTTCATCATGTGGCATCTACATTTAAACATCTAAGACATCTCAACCAAATTTTACTTATTCCATTTACTCTTTGGTCTGGTTTAGAACAACCTTACATTAGTGCACAATTTACTAAAGTAAAAAAATATTTGAATTAAACTAACCCTTGTAAAAAAAACAGTACGAAAAAGTCACTAAAAAGTATTTTCAAAATTCTACTTTTTGAAGTAAAAAATAGTGTTTTTTAATACTTTTTTTAAACATGGGTAAGCACATGCCATTTTTTTTGTTCATTCAGGGATTTATAACATGTGCTGTTGGTATTAAATATGTTGGTCTTGTGATGATTGTTTATGGTGTATGCGATGCATTGAGTAGTTTTAGTTTTGGTCATATTGCAAAATATATCGGTCGAATGTATTGTTTAATGTTTGCTGCTTTAATTAATTATACATTAATAATAACTATGCTTTTATGGGTACCACAAGAAAATCAATTATGGGTTTTATTTATACTTGCTGGTTTATGGGGTGTAGCTGATGGTTGTTGGCAAACTCAGAGTAAATAAATCAAAATCTAATTATACAATCAGAAGTTTTCTCTTATATTTTCACTCTTTATAGTTGCTGCTGCATATGGCACATTATTCACTGAAAATGAATCAGCATTTTCAAATTTTCATTTATGGGAATCGCTTGGATTTGTTATTGCTTATGTGTATACTCCACGTATTCGTATAAGATATGCGCATATTATTCTTCTATGTGTACTTACTTTATCAATGGTATGCTATACAATCATTGAGATTAGAGAAAAACGAAAAAAGAAAAAAGTACCTGAGGAAGAACCATCGAAATCAAAAGATGACATAGAATCCACGATTGCAACAGCTCTTTAAGAAAACTCACAAAATTAGGTTTTTAATTTTAAAATATTCTTGAATATATGTACTTTGTATTTAATTTTTAATAAAAATGTGAATTCAGTAGATATATATGCTTTCGAGATTGGGATATAATATACAAGACATTCTTTAGTTGTTACAAAAGAATATAAATATAGAATATAGTAGCGATTAGTAGAAATTATGTTGGTGAAGTTTTGATGACATACACACAAGCAAATAATTCGTTATTCAATTAGCGGAATGAATATAGATAAAGATATACAATTGTATTAGACAGCATATAGAAAAAGCTTCATCAAGACAAAAATAGTTTGATTTTTTCACGTGTATCTATTCGACAACTAGGACATGTCTTGAGTTTTTGAGCACATTCGAAACATGCAACATGTCCACATAGAAAAGCTACATTAATTAGTCCATCCATACATATTTGACAACATTGTTTATCTTCTAGTTTTTCGATCATCTGTTCCAGTTCTTTTACTCTCTGTTCATTGATAGCTACGGCCGAGGTCAGAATAGATGCTTGCTCGAAATTATTTGGTAACGATGGATTTTGTTCTGAAAAAAAAACAATATTAAATTCTATACAACTATTATTTTTAATTTATCATACCATCTCCTAACCATTTATCACGCCATTGTTTATGTTCAATTGTACAACATAGTTGAGCAAAATTCTGAATAATAATTTCATGTAAACATCCAGGATTTCGATTAGTTTTATCAACTAAAAGTAAAGCATTTTGTACAATTTCTTCAGCAGGTCTTGCTCTTTCACTGAAACTAGTTCCACGTAATTTAATTGTATGTAAATAACTGTCACTTTGATTGTAAAGTGCTCGTCTCAAGAATTTTCTTCCTGTAAACTCTTTAAGTGTTACTAAATGAAAACTATTGAGTCCATTTAACATAACAACATGTATTTCAGTTGGATTATTATTGGATGGAACAGCAATCCCTTGAAGTAATCGAAAATTTTGCCATTGATACAAATGATCACCAGGACGAACATCAGATGGAGGAATATAATGAAAAAGCATCTTCTAGTAAATTAACTTTCTCTTGGTTTCGTTATTGTCATAAACAGAAACGTGTTTATTATATTTTTATTATATATAGGTGTATCGTTGGAAGATTCTTCTATGATATTTCCGTTATCAGATGACGAAATATTAGATAAGAAAAAACATAAATGTCAACAAACTCAGACACCTAACTTTAGATATGCTTTCGTTGAAAGACTCTGTTGTGTTCTCACAAGGGGAGTGTTGCAATACGTAGTTTCCCACTTGGTTGATGATAATAGTCAAATCTATGTGACAGATTTCGGGAATCATCGAGTAATGCGTTGGAGTACAGAAAATACAGAAGGTGAAATTATTATTGGTGAAAATGGAAAAGAAGAATTAAATCAATTGTTTTATCCTAAGAATTTATCGTTTGATCTAATTTCTCAATGATAACTTAATCAAAAAAAGAGAGCAGAACTTTTTTGATGAAAAACAAGTTTTTATTAAGGAAAAGGAAAGGAAAAACATTTGTTTTTTGTAAATTTAAAAGATCTTGATTTTGGTTTGAAATAAAACATTTATATTAAGATTTTTTTAAACTTTTATTTAAGTAATTAATGTAACAAAAATAAATGAAATCTTTATTTAGTTGCTAAAAATACTTGTCTGAAAATGATAAGTTTAAAAATATTCTTGTGAATGAATTAAAATTTTCAAATTGATTGAGAAGACGCAACTGTTACTTAGACAAACCCTTTTCACAATCAATAAAAAAAATTTCGCATCCAACAGAAAGAATTTTTGAGAAAAACTGTTTTTTTAATATAACAACAAATAAATTCTTTGTACTTTGTGCATTGATTATCAGAATAAAAACTATCGAAAGATTAGAAAATATTTCTGATCTGATATGTCGATGCAGAAAAAGATTTTTTAGGAGAAAATATTAATAAAATTGTGAGTATATCGAAAGATCTCTTGCATGAGAAAACTTCTTTGTCACCTCCGTCACTACTTGAGTAAACACTGAACTTTGTATCCATAGTAGAAGCACATTCGAGCATTATTCCATTTTCTGAAAGAGAGGGTCATAGGCTGGATAAAAATGCTTAAAGTTTGATTATCCCTCCAAGTCAATCAGGTTTCAGCATTCTATAAATCAGTAAATACTTATTGATGGTCATCAGAAAATGATTGATCGAAGGTAATTGAGATCGAAGAACTCGAATCTAATGTTAGTTTTCATGTTCTTTTTGAGTACCATTTTTTTACACAAAGGACTATTCTCTTGACATTCATGTATCAGTTGAAAGTTGATTTCAACTTCTAAGTTACATGTATGTCTCTAAAGAAACTTCAGCTACGATCAAAAACAAACATAAATAATAGTATTCATAATGTTCAAGGTATTACTAAATAATTTATCGATACTAGAATTAAATCAAATTCAAATATCTGTTGAGATTGAGAAAGTCTGATCGATGCATAAGGACATCTTTTATACATTCGTAAATTATAATTTTTTAGTAAACAACATGATCACATTTGCGATTTCTTCTTCTTCTTTCCTGTAATACATTTTGCAATTCGTAAAAAGGCATCATGACGGTGCAGATTTTTCTGTTCGTCATACCTGTACACTGTGGCACTATCAAGCTTCTCTTTTTTTTTCATTTATTAGAATTATCACTTGGACCTTTTTGTTAATATCTAAATATTGACTATTTCAAGTGAATTATTCATATGTACAGCACATTCCACATATTCTCTCACTCTTTTTCTCTGATTGTTCGTTTTCTTCTTCTACTCAGGTGACACTTTTTGTTTTTTATTATTATTTTTTTATAAACGTAAGACAATGCAGTAGAGATGTCTTTCGTAGACAGATCATTCGCATCCACTGCTCCTATTAACTATTATATTGATTGTATTTCTAAAGAATTATTCAGAAGCGAAGACTATTAACTTTTGAGTTGATCAAAGACTAAGAGAGAAATTTTCTATTTTTATTATTTCATTTTTAATCATTATGTTTCTATTTTTTATAGATATATTCAGGAACAATTATCGTGGCAATGCCAATACCTCAACAGTAAGCGATATATTTATCATTTTAAGAAAACGATGGTTTCTTTTAGCAATCATCCTTACAAATTGTTGGTTGTTGGTGATACAGGTGTTGGAAAAACAGCTTTTTCATCAGTGAATAGTGTATGTATAGCAGAGATATCTTCTATTCTATAACTATTCGATATTTTCTTTAGAAACTGAATTCAGAAGAATGGTACATTGATTTAGGAAGCTACAAAGTCGTAAGTTGATTTTAAAAGTTTTAATTGGAAACATGATTTTTTTTAGAGTAAAATAGTAATCAATCTCAATGGTGAGCAGATCAAACTCATGATTGTATGTCTTTCATTTTACTCGAGATTGATAAACTTCACATTTGTTTTGTATTTTCTTTTAGTGCGATATGAGCAGTGCAGAATGTGATCGTAGCATCAGAAGTAATCTTTTCTTTTGATTTATTATCAAGAACCTCCTTCATTTTTGTATTTAGGAAGTTTTTATAAAGTTGTAGACGGTATTTTTATTCTTTATGATTCAACAAACAGAGTATGATTGACATGTATTTCGAAAACTTAATTTGAAATAATAATTCTGTTTTTAGAAATCATTTCAAAATTTAAACAAATGGTTGCATGAAATTAATAATCATGGAGCCAAACATGTGACGAAATTGATTATTAGAAATAAATGTGATTTAGCAAGACAAAAGGCAGTTGGTTTTCACGAAGCTAGAGTAAAGTATATTTAATAATTAAGAAAAAAAAGAACATTTTATTTTCAAATAGGAGTATGGTATTCAATCAAATATTTCCATGTTTGAAGTTTCTCCACAAGATCGTACTAATGTTAAATCAGCACTTGAACATATGATTTTGAAAATTCGATCCAACTTAAAACTAACAAACAATGATGAACCTGATCATGATAGAGAAGAAATTGTTTTAAAATTTGTGCCTTATATATCTGATATTGGTTCAAATGCTGTCGAACAACATGTAAATGAACAAGGTCTTCATGATAATACAGAAAATGAAAACGACCGGATTTCGGCTGAAGAGAGTGATGATGCGACACACACTGGAAATGTGGATGAACGTGAAATGGAACGTGCTCAAATACCATCATCACACAACCGAGCAGTTGAAGAGAAAGCTAAGCAACCAAATGTTTTTAGTGTTTCAAAAACATTGAAAAGAATTTTTTCACGTAAAAAGACAATTAATTAAAATATTTATCAATTTATATTATCTCATTTTCAACTTATCTATAACAAAGTATTACGAGTTCTTTCATTTTCTTGTTATTTCTCATTTAGAAAAAAAGATAAAATAAATACATCGAAATATATATATAAATTCTACTTTTTCTGTTAAAGATAAATGTGAATGTAAATGAAGAATAATCTGTATGACAACAAGAAAACATATTTTTGTAAATTTCATTGGTTAGTCTCTGTGAACATCTTGTGTTTATTAACTTTTATCTTTAAAAAAAAGAAAAATGAGACATTTTTTTATAAATGATAAATAAAATTAAGCATTTTAAGGTAAGGTGTCTTTTGTCTACAAACGATATTATACATTAACATTTGTATTAATCATTTTGAATATTTCTCACATAGTTATACAAAAGACGATTTTTAGATAAAATGATTTGTTGTTGTTCATTGTGTAAAACAAAATGAACGTGAATATCAAAGTAGCTGTGATTAACATTTTTATCTGCTATTTTTTAACTAGTAATTTGCTAGATAATCAATTTAGATCATTTGTTAGAAATCCAATGTTAGTAAATCAAGGGCAAAACCACGTACTCTCTGGACTCCGGAAGTACGTGATTTCTTCCTTGATCCTAAAGCGAAGGATATCTGATGTCTATTGATAAGATTTATCATAAATTAAAAGATCATAAGCAGCTATAGATAATTCTTGCTTATTCATTAATTAATATTTATTTTAGAATTTTTCAGCACTAACCGTGAAACATTCTTTGAATAGAATTAAAATAAATTCAGAAGCATTGAAATTAACTTTTTTTTCTTCATTTTAATATTGATAACTTTCATTTAATCATATGCACATCTAAATTATCTATTTGATTTTTGTGCTTATTACCTTATACAACAGTTTAACTATAAATCATCTGTTGCATTTTGCATATCAATCTTATGAAACAAAAAAATAATAAGGTATTGTATATATCTTTTACGTAACTATCTCAAATTTCTTTTCAATTAAAATAATCATGATATTCTTATCTATTCTTCATTTTTAAATGTAACACTAGAAGCAAACAAACACATTCGAAAAAAAGTGATTTTATATAAAATACAATGGATTGGATAGCAGGCGTAAGTTCAACAATAAAAACTTTCCAAGTATTTTCCTAATCTATTTTAATTCTATAGAAATCATATTTTATTGGTTATACTACAATCGATCGATTTGATTCTATCATTTTTTTGCATAATTATTTTTATACATGGTCAATAGGAATATTATTTTCTTTAATACTTCCAATATTATATATTTTTGCTCCATCATTATTCCATAATAAAAATCGTACATCATATTTTCTAATAATTTGTCTTGTTTGTTTATCAAATATGTGTTGTATTTATATTCAACCATATTTATTAAGTGATTTCGGTGAACCAAATTTATCAATTCATTTATGTCGTTTTATTGTTTATATATCAACATTTGCTAAACCATTTGGATTATATTTAACATTATTATTTAGTATTGAAAGAATTTGTACGAAATTTATTTTACGAACAAATAATCATCGAATATTATTGAAAAGATTTTTTTCGTTATCAATTATTTTTGGTATTTGTTTTATTGTTTCAATTAGATTATTCGAAGTTATAAAATTAATTAAAAACAATCAATTGACATCGAATAAAACAATTGTTTCTGGTCAAAAAATGATCGATGTTGATTATAATTCATCAGATAGTATACTATCATTTCAATATTGTTATCGTTCAATGAATATTGGAACTTACGCAAGAATTTTATCATTTTATGTCGTACAATATTGGTTTGAATATGCTATATTTATTATAATTATTCTTGTTTTATTATGGATGATTATATATCAATATGTTTTACCTCGTTTTCAGCAACGAACATCATCGCCTTTAAGTCTTAATACAAAACTTTATTTTTCTCTTTCGTCAAGCGTAGTTTTATTTGAATTAATCTTACAAATTTTGCATTTGATTGTTAAAGATGATGAAAATAATAATACGGATTTTCAAGTTAATAATCTTCGCCGAATGTTATTTCTCTACAATTTTCGTTGTATTTTACTACCACTTATTATCTGTTTCATTATTTGTGATCCATTAAAACAATGGTTCTATGAACTTCTTATACAACGTCCATATCTAGATAATATTGATGAAACTGATCATACAAATACAATGATTGATCAATGAGAATCATTTTTATTTTTGTCAATAAACATATACTGATGAACACTTTGATTTGTGATTTAATTCACACATCTAATTTTCGAACAGATGTAATAAATGACCTTTCTTTCATTTGCTTGTTCTCTCTATTCTGATAAGGCGGAAATGAGAAAATTCAAAGTTGATGATAGATGCTATCCTGCTGTGAATATGCCATGACCAACATATAGATAGATCATCTTTCAACATAAAAATTCTTGATTGGTTAGAATAAGCAAACAGACAGAGAAAAAATCAGCGAAAAAGAGAAAATGATCGATCGATCGATCAATTTAGAGAGTAGAAGCGTTTTCTATTTCATGATGAACACATCACGTATTATTCATCTGTTTTATCAACATTTACCCTATTTTTTAAAAAAAAGTAAGATTAAAATACATAACAAAAATTCTAACTATATCTCATTTAATTAGAATTATCACATAGAGAACATTATTTTTCACAGGTATTGAATTCATTATATATAATCTATAGAGTTCTATTCTTTTTTTTGTCTTCGAAATAGAATTTAAATAGTCAATTATCGTTCTTTGCATCGATGACAAATATTCATAATAATAATGAAGAAGATCTAATTTATGATACCGATGGTTGTTTATTATTTATGCAAACCGCTCAATCAAATTTATCTTTATTTAATGTTAGTTGTGACTCACTTAATTCAAATGAAAATGAAGATTTTAATATAAAATCAACACAAATATTAAATTCAAATAAACAATACAGCAGTTCAATCGATATTCATTTCGAAATAAAAAAAATTAATCATCGTTCAACAATAATCTTTTCCGATGATACGAATATTTCACAAACAAATACATTACAAAGATGGAAAGGACTTGAATTATTAAATACATATGCATAACAAAATGCCTGTTTTGTTTTCTTTCAAATTTGTAAATTAATATAAATTAGTAAAATTCCTATTAAAAACAATTTTTTTTGTTTTATTATTTATTAAATGACAATAATACAAATATTTGAAAAAGTAATTACTAAAGCATAGGTTCTTCTTCGATTGTTTCCAGTTCATTTGTTTCCCGTGTTTGAGGTATCTAAATAATCAATAATAAGAAAATATGAATTAATATTCAATAAAAATACATTATTTTTCCAGAAAATTGAAAATACATCTTTCCATGATAATAGCAATTTTTTATCGATCATTTTGACATCATTTGAACCTATATAATATATAAACTATGAATTCGTATTCGGTAATAGAATCTTACCAAAAATAAATGATCCTAATAAACTAACAATAACGACGATAACAACAGCATTAAGAGAATACCACATAACAGATATGGAATAAAGTGGTAAGAAAGGATTTGAACTATAATATTGATCAAATAATTCGAATTAGTTTTATATAGAAGGGGCGAAATACCTTTGATTTGTTGTAATTGATTGACTAGTGTTGAACGATGATGAACATCCTTTTATAGATGTATATAATCGTCCACCTTTTCCTATTGATGGTTTAACTGTTAAAGTTGCACCAAGAAGTATCCATGTTTGAATTATTAAACAAAAAATAAAACCAAACAGAATACTCTAAATATTAATATGAAATTCAATTAATTATATCGATAAATTTTACTATCATCATACTCGACTATTTACACGTGGTGCAAAAAACCCTACTAAAAAAACACCTAAAATTGGTGCTGCAAATGACCCAGATATTTGGAAAACTATCTATATAAATTATATACAATACAAATTAACCAAAACATGTATGTTAATTACCACTATAATATTATCACCTAAATAAGACACAATAAAAGCCAAAAATATAACAAGAAGACCAATAAAAACAGCTAAAAAGCAAAATTGTCTATATAATTAGATTACAGAAGCATTCATACGTACATAATATCTTTGAAATTATAGCTTGTTTTTTATCCGATATGGCGTCTTCTTTGGATATTCTTTTGTAGATATCTTCGAGAAGAACAGTTGCAATACTATTAACCCCACTAGATACTGTACTTAATGAAGCACTTAAAATGGAAGCAATAAATAAACCTGTTAAACCAGGATATCGACCCAAAGTTTCAATAACAAATAATGGATAAAGCTAGAAATCAAATTATCTAATAAAAAATATTTTTACTTAACTGAGATTTTCTTACTTGATCAGGTTTAGTTATCATCTTAGCTCGAAGTGGATCACATTGACTATATTTTGCATAGAGAATACATCCAACAGATACACAAAGAAAAAGCATTATTGCACACATAATGAAGTTAGTCCAAGCAACTCTATAAAAGCAATTAAGACAAGTGAATTTATTATTTTGTTGTTACAAATAAATACTTTTGTGCAGATCTTGTGTTTTTTACACATAAATAACGTTGTGCTTGAGTTTGTAAACAAGAATATACAGCTGTAGCATTTAAACCGCCACCAATAATAATACTCCAAACAGTATATCGAATTGATGGATCTAATGTAATTCTAAGAATTTTCAAAAGAATGATTGATTTCTTTTCTTTTGAATTACATACGTAGATAATTGTATTCGATTTCCATTTATTACATTTTCGAATACATTTTTTATTCCACCCGCATCATAAAAACCTATAAATTCATGATAATTTTCTCCAAAAAAAAAATCAATTCCAACTCATCGTACCAATAATGATTGATAAAATAACTCCAAGAAACATCATTACTGTTTGTGTAACATCTGTCCATATGACTGCTTTCATACCACCCTTTATTTTTTTTTCAAAACTATTTAATGTTTACATATTTCAATATAAAATACATACAATACTTGTATAGATTGTACAAATAATTCCACATGATAAAACTGCTAACCATATATGTAAACCTGTTACTTGACTTAATGCTAAACTTGGTCCATATAAAATAACTGCTATGTAAAAAATCTGAAGAAATATATGATTTTTAAATATAGAAATTTTGTATTTATTATTACTAACCGTTACGAATATGTAACTAAGTGTTATAACAATACGAACTGTTAATGAAAAGCGTTGTTCAAGATACTACAAAGACACAAAGAGTTCCCTTGAAACAAATATAATATGAACATACCGCATAAATACTTAAATTTCCTATCTGACGAAACATTGGAATGAATAGATTTACTGTTAAATAAGTACCAATAAAATATGCGAAAACTACATGAATAAAATTCCAAGTTTTTTTACATTTACTTTAAAAAACAAACAACTCACTCCAATAAATATAAATTGTACCATATGAATAAACTTCTAGTGGAATTCCAAGTAGAGTTGCAGCAGACATAAGACTTGCCAATAAACTCATCGCAGTTGGTAAAATCTATCACAAAAAAAAAAGAAAAGATAAACGAAATCTTTCTTTCTTTTATTAATTACTCTCATTCTCCCATCAGCAATAAGAAATTCATTTGTCGTTAATTGTTTCGATCGAAAACAACCTTGATAAATTCCAATACATACCGAAAAACCTAGAAATTGTTCATTAATAAATAATAGAATTTATTCAAAGAACAAACTTAAAAGTAGAGTCAATACTCCATAATCAATCCAACCGAGATGCATCTACAAAAACCCATTATTTAACATTCCATCATCATTCCCTTTTTCTACGTCTATTCGACGGAGAAATAAATATGATGTCAATAAAACATTTATGTCATATATATATATAGTTCTTATACTTATTATATAAAAGGAAAGTAGTGTAATTAAACATACTTTTCATTTTCTTACAAGATAAACTTTATATTAACAAAAAGAAAATATAACGTCCTTCAATAATAAAGTAAAGACGGTTATTGATAAGAAATACTACAAATACTAGACGTTATACATAAAAAAGAAAGTATACAAAAAAAAATTTTTTTTCCCTCGAATCATAGATAAAATATGTTCTGATAGACCTACGTCATTTATTGTAATTTATAATGAAACTAAAATATTATATGACGAGATAATATAAATACATTTAAATTTTCGTCTTATACAAACATGAAAATATATGGATTCAGTACGATAATATGTATTAAAATATAGCATCACTATGTAAATTTATATTTAATTAAATAAAAACATGTTATTCGAAATAATTTATGCATTGGAAAATCCATTAATTCTAATTCTGATTTAAGACATTTTATTTTATTCATATAAAAATGACGAATTTCTCACTTACTAATGTAATATAAATTTATATTTATACATATAGGAATTATATAATCTACTCTGCATATGATTAGTAGTTTAACTTCAAGGTTCAATGTAATTTTGTCTATAAGATACGATAGCTAGTGACCTCGTGAGGATAAAAATATTATGATCTAAATAATCAAGAATTACTTTAAGATTTATTGAAATATGCAAAATATTCTAGAAATATAATTTTATATTGTTAAATAAGTATATCAAAATAGGAAGCTATGTTTTGTGGTTACTACTATAACTGAGACATTGAAAATGGCGAAATTAAAATTTGGTGATATAATATAAGTAATAGCTTCTTGTTTACTTTTAAAGTACAATTGCGTACTAAATCAAACGAACTACGTAATAGGTAAGATGCCACCTGTAAAAGATGAAAAACCTCCTGTTCGTCCATTGAATACTTCCGCACAAATTCAACAAATCTTTACCGAAGTTCAATTACAACTGCCTAGTGTTAACTTCGATAATGATGATGATGATGATTCAAATAATAATGAAGAAGTAATTTATTTGTATTGAATTATTTCATAATTATTAAAATTTATAGATACTTGAATCAACTATTCCTGAAAATACGGATGATCTTCTTGAATCTTTATCAAATACGAATACAAATTCATTTCTTACATTACATCCAAGAATTGAAACACCTCAACAACCACCAAGTGTTGAATCACAAATGCGTCTTTCTCCTAATCCATTAGATAATTCATTACAAAATCAAAATTCACCACCAAAATCATCATTCCTTTCAATGGATCTTTTCAATACAATTGATTTCGATAAATTACCATCTTTAATATCTAATAATGATCGTCCTCAACATTCAACTGGAACACGTTCATTTCATCGTCCACGACCAAGTAAGATGATATCAAATAAACTTAAGCAAGAATATTTTTCCCATATAACATATGTATGAATAATATTTCTAAGATTCAATTCGTTTTTTTAGTGAATAATAATCCTATATCAACTGACCAACAAACGAATGTAAAAAATCGTGATGATCGTCAAATTCTTGAGCGTCTTGCTCAACAAGCAAATAAATTTAATATTAATCAAAGATCTCATTCAACACAAGAACAACATGATTCATTTAGAGAAATAGAATCAGCTTTATATGCTGCATCTCAGGATCGACATGGAAAAAGAATAGGAATACCTGAATCTGAAGTAAGATTTATTTCTAAAAAATGATTATATTGTTTTAAATCATCTATTACTGATTATATTTAATTCTTTGTAAATAAAAAAAAAATTTTGATAATTTAATTATCTTCAATTTCCTTTTAGCGTAAAACAATTTATATTGATTTGCGTAATGCAAATGTTCAACAACAAGAAAAACTTCAAGATGAACAACAATCAACTAATCCTATTAACCCATCATCGTCACAACAAATACAATCATCAGAATCAGAAAGTGATGATGATGATGATGACGATGATCGTAATGACGGGATGTTATGGTTTGAAAAACGACAGCAAGCAAAAACCCAACAACAACCGAATTCAACAAATCAATAACTTTGTTTTTTTTTTGTATATACCGGTGTTTTGTATTCATTTTAAATCTAGCATATGTACGAGAGAATACATACTTATCTAACCACTTATAATGCATATAGGCAGCAGTATCTCATATACTCTCGTTGGAGGTGATGCGTGTGATGCTGCATATGATCATTTGATGTATTATCCTTTAGTAGCTAGCACCCTAGTGAGCTTTCGGTCTTATTCTGATAACTTATGTTCTTTATGTGTTTGGTTATACAACGAGAAGAAAAGAAAGAGTATATATAGATATGTACATATATACATATATAGTAGTAATAGAAACCATTTTGTTGATGACATTTTCGGTTGATTGTACATTACTGAACAAGCATATATAGACTGATATATTCGTATATATAGGATGACTGGCAAAGGGAATACTATTACTTATTGCTTTTGTCCGCAAGAACATAATGATCCACGAGGTATGTTGATCTTTAATATTCTTAAACAGAGCATTCGTATAGATATATATATATATCACAATAATCATAACATAGTATAATGAAATAAAGAAAGGCTATGAAAACAAAAAACGAATGTAAGTAAAAAATAATAGAAAAAAAATAATTAACAAAGATTAGTTCTTTGTATTGATGAGATATATAATTTAGTAAAAAAAAATAATTATACGTTATTCATAGATATTAATTAGTATCTATCCTAAGAAGCGGTGAATATACAAATGAAACCTCTTATTCAATGATGCCAAAAATAGGAAAGAGATTTCTATTTCAAAGCTTAGAAAAGCATAAATGACATTGTTGTTTTTCTTCTAGTTTAACATATATATATATATATATATAAAGAACGAGAACTTATATTATCACATCAGCAATGATAAGGATTTTATTTAGATAATCAATTGATGTATATATTAATCATAGTTGTACTTATAAAATTTGTTCGTTTAAACAAACTACATCAGTCAATAAAAGAAAAAAAGTAAGAATATGCTAATAATCATTATCTTTTTTGCATATCTATCTTGATACATTTCTTTTCGAATAAGTATAAAATAATTATACTATTGAATTTTATGCTAATATATGAACATTGTAATCAATTCTTTTATTAACGATAATATTGATCTGTCGTATTTTTATCTGTAACTTTGATTTTTCCTTTTTTTTTTTTTATTATTATTTCCACTTTTTTTTTCATCATTTGTTATATTTGTCATTGAATAGATCCACTTAAAGAGAACGTACATGTATGAGTCTTGTTCGGATGATCGTGTTAGATGAGTGATTGTTGTTTTCCGTCACTATCCGTGCCAATTCGATGACGAGAAAAACGAGAGTGAGAGAACGAGAGTACTAGAAATAATGACGATTGAGAAAGTATATAAAAATAGACGAAGCCAAGGGAAAACGAGAGGGAGAGAGAGAGACGAGCGATCATTAGAACAAAGCCTTTCGTTGCGTGATACAGTGATGAGAGAGGGAGAGAGAGGGGGGGGGGGAAGATTTCATCACGCAATCGATAGGTTTTCCGTTAAAGAATAAAAGGAAAAAAAACGAGCTAAGGACCTTAGTAAACAATTAACCAAAGCGCCGATAACAAAGACAATACAAAAGAGCAAGAGATTCAATTCTTTTTGTCTTTTCGCTTTTTTGTTCTTTATATTTGATAATGATACATCGAAATTAAAAATAATGGCTAGAACTAATAGAAAATAACGAGTGATGCTGTTAGTTTTCTTTACTGTCACGATTTTCTCTTCTTCGTCTTCTTTTTTATCTCTTTCTTTTCTTTACTGATGAAGGTAGTGAAAAAAGAAAGAAGACGATGCCTATGCTTTCGTAAATGAATTATACTCTGTGATAGAAATGAAGCTCATCTTGCCGCTCGTTCTTTACTATAACTCTTTGTGGGATAACCACACACACTTTCTTTTCTTTCTTTCGACAATTCCTTTTTTTCTCTTTCTCTTTTTTTTTTGCTAAGTCTTTGTCTCGCTCTGTCTTTCAAACAACAAATCATAATAACAACCGCAGACCGACCGCACAGATGATTGAGAGCGACGACGATGAGAAAAACCGACGCCGCCAACATCATCATCGATCGACTACTAACACGAGAACGAGGCTTCAACAACGGGAAACGCGCACCAATACGAAATTGAGCAATCAACAATTCAAACAAGCACTACTACTACTGCTATCATCATAGTCTCTTCTTCTTCTTCTCTTTTATCATCGTCATCAAAATCTTATATATATATACATAATATACATTTGTCGTCATCGATTTTTGATTATCATTATTTTCTCAAAAAACATTCTCTTCTTACTACTTGGTGCATTTCAAACGCCGAGATGCACCTCGGAACATTTCACTTTTACCATCAATGGTCCTCTATGCATACAGTAAGTAGCTATAAATTCGATTGGCACCACATGAAAGATCTCGCATATTCTTTGTTTGAGAAAGCGAGCGAGAGAGAGAGAGGAAGAGGGAGAGAGAGAAGAAGAAGAAAGATCGAAGAGAAAGAAATAGAGAGGGGGAGAAAAGGGAGGAGAGACCTAACAAGATAATCCACATAATGGGCAACTATACACGCAAAAGTAGAGGTGTCAAGCTTCTCTTTTAGGCAAATTATTTGTATGTCAGTTATTCGAGACAAAAAAGATAGACAATATACTTTCATCATTTATGTAAACCAAAAAAATAAGTGATGGATGTAAACTGCCGACAATGAAGCCTGTAGTCAAGGTATAGATTGTTTTTAGTTTAATCAATTTTTATTTTATTTCTCTAATAACTATATATACACGAAAGTGTTACTTATTTTT